AAAACTTGTACGATGGCCATCTGCTAGCTTACCAGTTTCTAGTCATACATTAGTTGACATATTTGTGATTTTCCTTGAATTTCACCTTTAAAGGTACTATGTCCCATTTGCAGGCCAAAAAAATGAAAAGGTTAAATTCCCTAGATTCCCTAGAAAAGGTGGGGCTTGAAAATGTCTTCAAGTGGGAAAATAACTAATATTAGTTGTCAAATCGACTTAGGAGCTACAGAGCCAATAAGTAATAGTCTTGATTTTCAGACCAATGTACCGAATGGTCATACGTTTATGCTGCGCAAAGATTCAATCAGTTTAATTTTGGCCATCACAAGAAGTGGGTTATTGATGTAGACAAATGCTCATGTACCCTTTCCAGCTCATTTTATGTATGTCATTACCAAAGAAGAAAAAAAGCCAGTCAGTCACTCAATAGTGTCTGACAGTGAAGTCTAGCATGTAAACAGGTTTCCTTGCATAATTTGAATAGGACACTGCTAATGTTTAAATTTCACAGATAGGACATACATGACACATTCATAAGTCCTGTAAAGTTCTACAGAATTTGAGGTTGGCTGCAAAAGGGAAATAGTACCTTTAAAGGACAAGTCTACTCAAAAATAAACTTACTTTCAATAAAAGCAGAAAAATCAGATAAACCAGATAAACCAATCAAAACAAGTTTGAGCAAAATCGGATAACTAATAAGAAAGTTATGAATTTTTGAAAAAGTATGTAAAACTATGGAACAATGAGAATCACAACACAAATTGCCAAGATGGTTATCAGTTTGTGACGTATTGTCCTCACTATTTTTCATTTTTTTTTTATATAGTTTAATCCCATTAATTTCGCTTTTTATTCCTTAAAACTTGATTTACCCATGCCTTTGCCCAGATTTTATGATTTTTATCATAATGCGTGCATGACATTTCACAAAATCTTTTATGAACATTGAAGAATTTTTACTATTTTCTGAATATTGTATATTCATATTTTTTTAATTTTTAAATAAATAGTTTATCAAAATTCACATTTTTCATGATTTAACTGGAACAAAATTACTCTATATTAGTGCATCCACACAAAAACATATTACTATCAATCTTGGATGCTGGTGTGGAGAAATAAGTTTCTTAAGGAGAAAATAGGAAATTTATATCATCAATATAAATAAAATAATTACCGTAAATCTCCGTGTATAAGGCGCACTTTTTTGCCGCCGAAAAAATTTGAAAGTCGGGGGTGCGTCTTATACACAGGTACAGAAAAAAAAAAGTTTTTTTTTTTTTTTTTTTTTTTTTTTTTTTAGTTTCGATTTATGGCGCTATGCCTGGCAATGTCGCATATGTTTTCTATGTTTTCTATAAAAAATGGTGTACCACAAGGTTCTATCTTAGGTACTCCATTATTAGAAAGATAGAGGATGCTATTCATATCATGCATGACTATTGATGTTTGGCATAGAACACAGAGCTTCTGCTAGGTGATGTGAAGAGGCTGGTGTGGGACACTTGGTATCATGAAGCCTTAGACTGTTGTTACTATTATTTGTGACAAGTTCACAACTTCTACTGCACCTCGATGTAAAATGAAGGTCCTTCCCCGCGTGGGTTTTTGGCAACAAAACAACAACAACAACAAAACAAAAAAAAATAGGGGTGCGCCTTATACACAGGTGCGCCTTATACACGGAGATTTACGGTAGTGGATAGTGAGGACATGACGTCACCAACTCATGAGTGAGTTGCCAACTTGTCTAGTGATTTTCAAAGTTTTTCATGTCATTAAAAATTCACAGCTTTCTTATTAGTTATCTGATTTTGCTGAAACTTGTTTTGATTGGTTAGTCTGATTTTTCTGCTTCTATTGAAAGTAAGTTATTTTTGGAGTGTACTTGGGCTTTAAGTCTGGTAGGGAGCTGTCTAGGGTAAATTTAGGGTGAAATACAAATGTTTGAATTGAATTGAATACCAAAATTTGATAAGTATTTTATCTAAGCCAATTAAATACTAAGTAAAAAGCTTAAATTTTGTACTTACATATTGACTTCAATACGGGCCCAGGGCTCTGATTATTTGACAACATTTTGTTGAAAATGATATTCAAACATGTGTTTCACTATACATGTACATGTACATCTAGATATAATGACAATATAAAAGATTAATTAACATGGGGTTTTCATGTTTCTATACTTATAATTCTGGTAGTCTAAAAAGAGGGGGGGGGGGGGGTAGGCTAAAGTGGATTTAAAGGGGAAGTCCAACCTTACATGAAGTTTGTTTTAATTATAGCAGAGAAGTGATACTGTTTTCACACTGGCAAAATTTGCTTAACCCCGTACTATACACGTAGGTGGGGTTAAAGGAGGTCTCACTATGAACATGACTTACAAAGAAAGCGGACAAAATATACAGTTCCTTAGGTAGACAAAGGAACATCCCTTCACTGCTATTATGTAAAAATGTGTAGAACATGTGTCACATACATATTCACTTTTTACATAATAGCAGTGAAGGGATGTTGAATGTTCCTTTGTCTACCTGAGGAACTGTATATTTTGTCCGCTTTCTTTGTAAGTCATGTTCATAGTGTCTAATACTTTTTTCACACTGGCAATATTTTGCTTAACCCCGTACTATAGGTGGGGTTAAGGGGGGGGGGTCTTAGCCCCACCTATAGTACGGGGTTAAGCCTATTCCACTTTCTGTTCAGACTGGTTTTTACCAAAGTGGGCTAAAGTTGGCTAACCCCACCTATAGTACGGGGTTAACTAACCCTGCAAAATAGCAGGGCTAACTCCGCAATTGTGGTGCTAACTCCTGCTAACCCCGCAATTGCGGTGCTAAGCAAATGAATGAGAACAGAAATGAAAAATAGTCCGGTACTACGCAATGGAGCGTATCGCAGCTGGCCAGATGCGAAGTATGTCCAGTCATAACATACACGATATCCGGGGTTAACGAAATGCAGTGAGAACAGCGGGAATTTTCTTATTCCGGAATAGGCGCTAGTACGGGACTAAAAACAGAGAGTGTGAAAAGCCAAAAAAATAGTCCGGGGTTAAGGATAGTACGGGGCTAAGCAAAGTACGGGGTTAAGCAAAACCAGTGTGAAAAGAGTATTAGCCTCACCTTTAGTCCAGGGTTAAGCTTATTCCACTTTCTTTTCACACTGGCAAAATTTGATTAACCCCGGACTATAGGTGGGGTAAAAGGGGGGTCTTAGCCCCACCTATAGTCGGGGGTTAAGCTTATTCCACTTTCTGTTCAGACTCGTGTTTACCAAAGTGGGCTAGCCCCACCTATAGTACGGGGTTAGCTGGCCCTGCAAAATAGCAGGGCTAACCCCACAATTGTGGTGCTAACTCCGCAATTGCGGTGCCAAGCAAATGAATGAGAACAGAAACGAAAAATAGTCCGGGACTACGCAGTGGAGCGAATAAGGATAAGGATAGTATGGGGCTAAGCAAAGTATGGGGTTAAGCAAAACAAGTGTGAAAAGAGTATGAGAGAACCAATTACCAGTAAAAGTTTTTAGCAATATCTATTGAAAGTGACTCGGTAACATCATTTAAAGATGAAGTTGAGTTCTGGTCATGCAATTGCATTGTGAAAGAAACGGTGTGGAACCGACCAGAAAAGGTTGATCATCTAGCATATAAGAATTTGTGTGTATTGCAAGGTTCTGGAATCATGAAAATGATAAGAAATTTGGCCAAGTCTTGGTAAAGTTACAAACACTTGCACAGAAAGATGTATATGGGACTACACGAACACGTGGCGTAAAAAACTGGCCCCCCCCCCCCCGATTTTTACGATGTTACTTGCATATTTAGAATATGAAGGCATTTGAAGAGCCATGCTTTTCAGGGAACATGTCTTAACTGATGTTCTTCCACACTTGCATAATAAGAATGAGTAATGCTCACAAATTATTTTTCACCTCTTCCCAGAACTCAACCTTCTCTTTAAGGCCTGGGTGATGAAAAAAATGTGTAATTTCTATATATGCAATGTAGTAGGTTCATTATATTCCTTCTAAGTCTGTACTAACCCTCTAACATGCAACAAGTTCAGAAAAACTTCTCAAACCACAAAGATATTTATGTTTTTCTTAGAAGGTGTCACTGTGCGACACCCTCTATCACTAAATTCTCCCAACCATTTTTGAATTTTTTCCAACCGTTTTTTTTCTTGAAAATAAGGCGTAAGACAGGCTTTTAAAAATCTATTAACACTTAAATGTCTAGAATGGTACATAGAGCCAATTCATTGCTTAATGACGATTTACACCTAAAATGTAATTACGTTTTAATAATATACATGTAGTTGGGATAATTAAGGAAATGATTAGATCAGTTTTTCCCCAACTGTTTTCACTCAAACTTTCAGATTATCTTTAATTGTACATCTAGCATTACCTTAGCACCCTTTCTGTGATCTGAACAATGTTACCAAGTCCCTTTAAAATGAGGAACGTTTTGATTTTTTAAAAGTATATTAGTACAGGGCAAATGAGAGGGGACCTCTCTCCATTTCTTCATAGTAGGGTGGACTTCCCCTTTAAATTATTCTGCTGTTGTCTGTTGCAAAATCTTCTATGCCTGGTATGCTAGCCAGTTCGGATTTTAGGACTGGCTTAATTACCCCATACATGTAGCTATGTCGAGTTGCAAGTGAATTTTGTTTTGTGTGTATGTTGAAGGAAGGCCTACAAAGATTCATTGTCTATCTGATCTATATTAAAACCATACAGCTGTACAAGAGTAACGGTGAGTAACAGGAAAGGTGATCCCATGTGGTTCAGTTACTAAAGGGTCAAACATGTTTGAGGTCTTGGATGCATTCACAAGATTTCAGAAAACCTGAGTTTTCTTTCTTAATCAATTTCTTTTTTGTTGACAATTTGATATCATCATTATGTTTAAGGTAACAACTTTATAACAATCTTGTATCTTGTTATTGTATGATCACAAATATTTTTCTCTCTTTATCTACCAGTTTACCAGGACAAGCCTCCCATGCCTCCTAGCAAGGCCAAGTATGATTCCCAGAAATCTACAGAGGGTAGATCCTACAAAGAATCCATCATCTCTCTCTTTAAGAATGTGCCTTTTTTACTGCTCCTCATCACATATGGTAAGCATGGCAATAATGTAATAAAGTGTATATAAAGCCCCAGCAAGAAGTCATGAACCTTTAAATCAAACTAAAACTATTGGGCGCTGTACTGTTGATGATCCTGCTACATTGCATTTGTAGCTGGGTTAGGCTTCACTCAAAGAAATGTATTTTTTTGGTTAAAATTCTTTTTACAACTTATTGACCCGCATATTGTTAATTTTACCCATGTTCCATTTATTGCATCCTGTACCATCCAATGATATACAATATAACATAAATCATAATTCCTTTCAACTCGATGATCATTTTCATCAACTTTCATAGGCTCTGCTTTTCCGATGATGGCGGCGGCGTCAACATCAAAAACTTTTTTTATTCAATGAAACTTAGATTAAAGGGTTATCAAGTATCCCCAACGTGTGAGTAGAATTTCCGGTGTCAAGGTCAAAGGTCATATCAGGTCAACAAACTGAGACAATGTTGTGGCATCATCATCAAAATTTTAAAGGTAATACAAAGTTTTGGTATGGGGTCATGAATCTGGTTCAAATGAACATATTGGAAGCATATGCGATCCTACAATATTCAGTGATCGTTTTCGCGGTTGAAATCGAGTCTACAGTTATTAAATTTTAAATAATAAACTCTTTATGTTATATAGCACCCTCTCAAGGTCAAGATATTAATTAAGCTATAAAACAATGTGTCTTGACTATAATCGACTGATTAGCTATTCCCGTTAGAAAAATATATATCGCAACTACATGTACATATTCTGATAATTTCATGGTAGCAGCTACCATTGTTTGGCCGTAGGCGCTATTTAAAATTTATCAAAACTTACCGGGAGCACCGGTAAATTTTTGTATTTAGTTTTTCTCGAAAACAGAAGTGTTTTAGGGGCCAAATTTTCTAGTGCTTTTAAAGATGAAGTTGAGTTCTGGTCATGCGATTGCATTGTGAAAGAAAAGGTGTGGAATCGACCAGAAAAGTTTTATAATCTAGCATATAAGAATTTGTGTGTATTGCAAGGTTCTGGAATCATCAAAATGATAAGAAATTTGGCCAAGTCTTGGTAAAGTTACAAACACTGTACACAGAAAGATGGGACTACACGAACAGGTGGCGTAAAAATCCTACCCCAGAGTTTTACGATATTACACGACATATTTAGAACATGAAGGCATTTGAAGAGCCATGCTTTTCAGGGAACATGTCTTATCTGATGTTCTTCCACATTTGTATAATAAGAATGATAACGCTCACAAATTATTTTTCACCTCTTCCTAGAACTCAACCTTCTCTTTAACGATCCACAGGGGCATCCAAATATATCAAATTGTAAAGAATCACTATCCACCCAATTTTCATAATTTCCCAAAACTTTGTATTACCTTTAACCTGGGGTTTAGTTTTTGAATTTTTAATATAATTTTGAAAGTATAAGTTCTTATTCAATGAAACTTGGACTACTGGTACTTACTCACAACGTTCATTCATAATACATGTACAGGGTGCACGCCACCATGCACCAGATGTGTATATATATATATATATATAGTTCCATATCCAGCGTCGCTAGTATATCAATGCTCAGATACATTATCAATACATGTATTTGCAGTGCTGAGGTTTGTTTTGCAATTAGGGTAAAGGATTAGAGTATTAATCAGTTCGTCTTACTACCCTTATCTCTTTCTTTGAGAAGGTCATTCTTTGTCATTCTTATTCACCTGTGTATTACAAACAGGAGGATATTATAAGATAATACCTTGTATGCACTTGATATCACTATTTCATACATGTACATACATGTATGTATGTATGAGCAGTTCATGATTATTATGGATGATATACTATAAGAACACAAGCTTAAAGGGAAATCCAACCTTGTTAGCAAACTACTCTAGGGAAAGCATAGCCTATAATCTAGGCGGAGTGCCGAGATTTTTCCTTTGCTGCTAGACTAACCTTAAGTAGAACGTCTGATACGGCGAGACTACGAACCGTGAGCCGCGCACCGCCTATAATCACTGGTCTAGCTTTAGTCGTTGTTTTTTTTATTATCGACATTGAATCCGTGGCAGTTTTTCGTACGAAAACTGGCACGGATTCAAGGTCGATAATAAAAAAACAACGACTAAAGCTAGACCAGTGATTATAGGCGGTGAGCCGCTTCGCGACTCACGGTTCGTAGTCTCGCCGTATCAGACGTTCTGTTTAGGGTTAGTCTAGCAGCAAAGAAAAAAGCTCGGCACTCCGCCTAGATTATAGGCTAGGGAAAGCAGAGAAGAAGACTGGTCACAGTTTCAAAGAAATCAGACAAAATGTGAGAAACTTATGGATTAAAAAAACGTTGTGTACAGGGCTCAAATTAATTTTTTGTCCACGGGGGCTCTTCCAAAAAAAAAGAGCCTCCGTGAACCTTCTCATGGGGGCTCTTTTAATGCTGATGGGGGCTCTTATTTTAATACAAATTTCCATTGAATTGGTACCCATGAAACTCCTAAATTCCTTGGTATTTTAACATTATCATTTATTTAAGTTGGCATTTTCCCTTTTACAAATTTACGTGTTACCTAGCTGTTTTCGACTTTTATCCCCGTGATGACATTCTCTCCATTTCTTCTCGTTTTGCACATAATCATACCTGCCAACCCCCCCCCCCCCCGATTTAGGCGAAGTTCCTTCGCATTTTTCATACCAACTCCGAATTCCGAATGCATGCCTCAAAACTCCGATTTTTTTTTAATTTTTAATTTTTTTTTTTTTTTAATTTTTTTTAATTTTTTAATTTTTTTAATTTTTAATTTTTTTTTAGAGTGTAATGCACTTGGAGAGTATATAACTATTATGTTTGTATTTCGAAATGTAAAGCGCCTTGAGCATGTTCATGTAAAGGCGCTCAATAAATACCGATATGTATGTATGTATAAGACTAAAGCATAACACAGCACTGATAACCAGATCACGCCAACCAAGCCTTTTATTAAAGGAATAGTTGAGTGTTGGTCAATACTCACATTAGCGAACGAAACTATGATCTAAACATAAAAAACATACAATAAATGTCTAAGAATGCATCATTGAAGATATAAATCCGAAATATTACATTAGAGTGAATTTATATGCAAAAAACCTGTTCGACTGCAAATGATTTTATTTATCAAAAATTTTACTTTCGAGGCGTGTTCAGTGTAATTGTATAGCGCCACCTCTCGGTCAAGCGGCAGCACACCGTGAATTTTCGCCAAGACGACGATCGGATATGGGCGTGCAAGTAATATCCGAACCATGTCTATAGCGCGCTGACTGATTTATATTGTACACATTATGGTATGCGAGGCCTGCACATAATTGCATGGTCTGTGGTACTGGTAGCGCTATTGTTTTTGAGCGCGATATGCGAATACTGTATGTGTATGTAGTGCGAGTACGCTCGACCTAGTAGTAGTGTATGTGTATGTATTGTACGTCGTATGACCCAGTTGATTACTTCTACAGTGTAAAGAAAGTGGCTTACTCTATCTATCAACCAATATGTGAGACAACGCAAGGGCAATTTTGTATTTCGTTTGTAGGAACAAAGCTGTGGAATGATCTCCCAGATGAAATTAGATTAAAAACATCGAGGTTATCTGTCCACCTACCTTCTATGTAAATGACGTGGGCCTTCGTTTTTCCTTTTATATTACTTGTCTTCCTTTTATAATATGTGAAGAGTTTCATTCCAAAAGGAGCCAAATCCACTTTGGGTACTTCTGAGTAAATTGCCTTTTTTATTTCTCCACTTTCCCTTTATATAGCCATGTATACCTTCATGTTGTTATATATGTTAAAGGTGTCACCCTGCATGGACCTGATTATCTGCCAATAATGATAAGAAAAAATCTTCCCTTCGGCTTTTCTGATGTTTACTAAATTTTTTATTTTTTATTTTCGTGGATTTAGCTCCTTTTGGAATGAAACATGTTATTGTACCTAAAAAATAAAAAATAAATCATATTTTCTCAATAAAGTCACTGAAATTTTATTCAAATTTAGCAGCAAACCTTTCCTTTTAAATAATAATTGTGAAATCACACATAAATATAACCTTTCGAAAAGAAAGTAAACAACATTATTACAGTTTCATTCCAAAAGGAGCTAAATCCATTCAATTCCAAAAGAAGCTAAATCCATGTTTCATTCAAAAAGGAATTACTAAATCCACATTTTTTTTTTGGCACATATCGCACGACAACCAAATGCCCTAAGATGTTGATACCCACTTTGATAGAAAAATAAGGTTTTACAAAATGGAAAAATACTAGAAGAGAAAAGGTAAGAAAGAGTAAAGACGGATTGAGGACGGTAAACCCCAAGAGACTCAAAAGATCTACCCCAGAATCCTCTCACCGGCACCAGAGTTGCCTAGGCCAATGATGGCCGAGAAGATTGCGCAATGTACCGCGCCGGTCTGGCAGGAAGGTGCCAATTGCGGTGAGGGGTTTTCATGGACCAGTAGATCTGAGATTATATTATCCAAAAAAAAGAGATGAATATGAATTGACAAATAGTACCAAAAATAGAAGAAAAAAAAGAAATAAAGTGAAAGGCGTAAATATTCTAAAAAAGAATGAAACGCCGATAATACCAAACAACAACAACAACACAAAATCTAAAAATTTGATAGAAATCAGAAATAACTGGTGGATTTTTTGTCTTATCATATGTTATAGGTCCAGAGCGACACCTTTAACATATATAACAACATGAAGGTACATGGCTAAAGGGAAAGTGGAGAAATAAAAAGAAATAAATTTAAAAAAATATTAAAAATTGTTGTATCAGTATACTATAATGAATAACAGTAGTGAATTAATTTAACATCTTACTTGATTCATACTTGTCCATAATGCAGTGTTTTTCAGTATTCTTATTTTGGTACTGCATGCAATTGTAAAGTTTAAAAAAAAAAGTGATTGTAACTTCTTGTAAATAAGTTGTGTTCTACAGTGCCTGTGTATTGCATGACCTACGTCAGTACGTGATAACTTGTAAATGTGTAAAGACATAAGATTTTAATATAATTATAGTAATGCTAAAATGAAGATACATAACATATTTTTATGGTGTACATTGAAAGCTTTATTCGGCCATAACTAACAGTTAAATTTACACAACATTATTGAGATGAATACAAATTATAATTGCTGAACTGAAGGCAATATTTAAACGTGATGTTGATTTCAACCATTGCATACAAACAGATCATGTGTATTAAAAAAGGCACATTTTTATTTAGCATCTATCGCTATGACAACTTTAACCGTCGTCATTAAGAAGGAGCAATATACTTTATTTGTATACCACCATGTCTTGTTACTTATTAGTTACTGCTTATTTATATACATCTTATCTTGTGTCTTTCATAAAAACTTGACATACTCTATAGGCAATGTGTAGATAAGTTTACCAAAGAAAAGTATCTATAACAGTAATGTTTCTACGCGCTTGACAAATATACTATTACCCCGGTCATTTGATTCAGTGCTTGCCCGCACACAATGTTTTGACTAGTACGTGATCATACAAATTTTGCCGAGAAACTGCCTACTAATTGATATATTTGGTAAATTATTATATCTATTTGGACTTGATAGATATAACGCATGTGTCGCGCACTTGTGCGTAGTCCCATATACATCTTTCTGTGTACAGTGCTTGTAACTTTACCAAGACTGGGCCAATTTTTTTATCATTTCGATGATTCTAGAACCTTGCAGTACACACCAAGACTTATATGCTAGATGATCAACCTTTTCTGATCGATTCCACAACAATCCTTTCACAATGCAGTCGCATGACCATAACTGGTTTTATCTTTTAAGTTTCACATCTTACTTTATATATAAATGCTTTAAAAATTGTCTGAGTGATTCTTTTCCTTAATGTGTACGAGTATACATGTATACATACTCCATATCGATCTCAAATCCTGAATCATATCAGTTTCAGCACAAAATTAAGTATAGTTAGGTACATATATGTCTTTCATCTTCCCTAATGCTCGACTATGAATATCACCTCAAGTGATTAACATCCAACATAAGGTTTTTCAAAAAAATAGCACAGACATTTCAAAACTGGTCATGTCCTATACGCACACAAAAGACAATTCTGCGTTGTGTGTACTGAGTTTCATATGAATCGATCAAACTACTTCCAATAGTTTGCTCACATACTTATTTTACACACTGCACATGCATTGAGTTTTATACTGTTATTATAATGCCTCATCAAAGATACCAAAACTATAAAATTGCTAAAACTTGGAAAGAATATGCTCCACAAGATTATTAAAACAAAATTGTATTCTTTGTGCAAAGCTTGGTTACCATGGAGGTACCTTAACAGACAGACACAACAAATGTGTCTTGCACACCCTCGGGTCAATCGGTATACCAAGTTTTATTACAATTTGCAAAAAAATTGGAAAAAATTTGACCCAGTTTTTTACAATAGACCAACAGAAAGACTCGCCTGCCCAACTGTATCCTTATTCCTTTATACACCCTTTCAAACTACAAAGTAGTTACAGGCAGCATATCTCTTGATGGTATAACCTTGAACCGCAATACTTTGGCGTTGAGCTGATTCACGTTCATTGATTCAAATGATGCATGAAACCAACTGTTTTGCTGTCTTGTGATCATTTCTCTTTTTCGCTTGCCGTTATTTTAGTCACATTGATTGCATTAAACAAAAAATGAAGACTATTTACAATAAGATATTCTACAAATCTTTCTTCTGTCCATGTTGATTTTCAACAGGTTCCGAAGTATAGTCTTTTTCATGATCGACTGTCACCTCAGTTACATGCACAGTCACTAAAACCAAACACATTGTTGACTCATGGTTTGACCTCTTGGCTGTAAATTTTATAATTACTACCGTAACTTCTTCAAGGAATATAGGTTGCCAAATAGATACAAATTGAAATATCCACCATTTCCACATGAGCAAGCACTGATTTTATCACAAATTATGAATTGTATAAATCACATAGAGCTTTTATACACTGATGTCACAATTTGTCTTTTATATTCCTACATTTCTTCCATTTGTAAACTTGCCAACCTCTTATTGTAATACAATATACAAGTGCCAAGCATGGTGGCTAATCTAGCAACAATAACAATTTATTTCTGGTACATGTATATCATGTGTTATGTGATTTTTTTTCTCCAGATAACCACATCCCCATGATCCCCAGGGACACTCTAGTATCAAGTTTGGTGGTATTTTGTCAAAGGGTCTCTGACATATCAAGAATACATGCTCGTAATGCTAAGCCATGCAATCTTTCACCTCCGGACCACAAAATGTTAAGTTCCAACCAATCCTCAAGATAGCCTAAAAACATGCCACATGGACAAATTAAATCGAGGCGATTAAGAGTCTTGCATGCAATCATGCAACAATGAACCTCATTTGACCTTTGACCTACTTATGTGACCTTCAACTCCAGAATATCATGGAGGCCAATAAAGGGCATCTACCAATCAAGTATGGTTACAAACAGATGCAGGGTTGGAAAGTTAGCAACCCTAATTGATTTTTGCAGGTAAGATTTCACATTAGACTTCATTCAAATTTGTGTACAGTCACGGAGGATGGACGGAAGGATGCCATTTGGATCCCTTAGTCTCTGCTCGAAAAAAAGCAGTTCTCAAGTCAGACAATCCCAAATGTTCACTACAGAGGATTACATGGATTTCTCTAATCGGCCTAGTCTCCTGGCTAGGATCACATCAACTTGTGGTGGAGGAAATGGTGCAAGCCGGGGCCTTGTGTGTCTAGGGTCATCAGGGAGCAGAACAGCCTTCGAGAACAGTGGTCCTTGGTCCTGTTCTCTGCGTTCCAGTATCGCACCGATGAGTCCTTGTACATACATGTAGGGGTAGGTCTTGGGGACCTTCTCCTTCCGGGCCACGTAGTTGTTGGCACGCTTTGACCATACTGCAACATATCTGTATCATAAAATAAAAGAACATGCAAAATGTAACAAGTTGCATTATATGCACACTCATTCTTGTCAATTGGAAATGATTCATATCTCTTAAAGATAAACTTGAGTTCTGGTAAAAAAAGAAAATGAATTCTCACAGAATCTAACGAAACTTACACTGAATGTTCAAGATTACAAATAAATGTCATGTGCCAAACAATTTTGGAAGAAAATGTATACTGGCTGAGTAATGAGCATAGAAAGATAAGGAAATCAGGGTAGTACTAGCCCCGACAGGCCGACACCATGTGTGTTGTCCCATATACATCTTTCTGTGTAAGTGATTGTTACTTTACCAAAACTCTGCCAAATTTATGATGATTTTGATGACTCCAGAACCTTGCATTACACACCAAGTATATTATTACACTGAATCCAAGTCCGCATTTAGGGTCCAAAATCAGCAGCATGATTGACAAACCATCAGCTTACAGTCCGTCATCTACATAATTTAGATGTGCGTCGTGTACAGGGACAACTTCTTTAGATGACGTCATATTTTGGCGATTTAAAAGGGGCGTTCCCAGGAAGGACAATTAGATATTTAATAATTTCCCCAAAATTGATAAATTTCATGGGAAAGAACTGCCAATTCGGATTGCCCTGTCCAACTACACAGGGAAAACAAAAAATCATGTTTTTTTTTTTTACTCCACCCACTTTGGATTGCCTTGTCCATCTAAAAAAAAATGTACAAATAAAAATAGGAAAAACAAGAAAGAAAAGAAAACCTTTTTTTTCTTTCTTTCTAATTTCCACTCACTTTGTATTGCCTTGTTCATCAATCTGGTCGGGCCTGTCCTTGTGTGCCATGTAGTCGATGACCGCAAGCAAATTCCTTGCCCGGTTTGCTGGGTAGCTGGATGGATAAGACAAACAATTGGTATTACCACTACCATGATGAATGAATAGTAAATGCTTTAGACAAATCTCAGACTCATTGGCCCGTAGTCACAAAGGAGGTTTGTAGGAGGTTTGTACAAACCATGGTTTGACGATGATTTACATCTATGGAATGCTGCTCGCATACCGTAAATTGTAAATTAACATTGTTAACAAGTATGGAGTTTACATTCCTTCTCCATCAGTTTACAAATGGCATTCCATAGATGTAAACCTTGGCCAAACCATGGTTTGTACAAACCTCCTTTGTGAATACGAGCCATTCACTTCAGTTCTGGATTTGTGTTGTAAATTATTGACTTTTAATTAAAGGTAGTTACATTTCCCTGCTACAACCACTCCAACTTGACTTAACATCAGGTACCGACACAAGTACGATACAAAGTCTGCTGTTTCAAGACTCTGCATGCATCCAAAAGTGATTTCAGCATTTATATAGATGTCATTCATAATTTCTCATTAACTTTGCTATTTGCTTCAAAATATGATATTGTAACTGTAACCGTACTGTAATGATATGTTTCAACTTTTCCACAATCTTACTTCAAACATACAAAATGATACTAAAAATACTTACTCAAAGGAATACCGCTTGGAAGCATACTTAGTTGTGGAAACACTCGAGCATGCTGGTGTGCCTAAGGAATTATGAAAACAAAATAAAAACTGATATAAATGATAGGGCATTTCATTATTTTCATACCACAAAATCAATATTGAAAATCCCATGTCATACACATGAGCAAATAAGATGCATTATCTTGACCTGCTGATATGTCCCAATTTTATAGGTCATAACCGAAAAAGAGCTCAATCTTGCAAACATGTACGTAATGAACGCATTCTCATTAAATTCCTCTCAATTTACAGAGCCTTTCGTACATGTATACAGAATCCTACCTGAAGCGAGCAAATCAGCAGAGTAGGCCAATTAAGTTCTCCATGAATTTGCGGTCAAAGGTGACTTGTACTATTCACCTGCTAATTCCCCTACTGCTGCTTGGAATTTCTTCGCTGGGGATGGATTGTGTTGTCTGTTCTTCATATCTGTAAAAAGTGAAGAAACGAAAGTCATTCACAAAGTAAAAAACATTCAGATTTTAAATCACCAAAAGAAATTATTTTGAAGATGGCATTCTCTAATAATTATCACAGCTAGCCAGATTTGGAATTTGCATGACTAATAACTGATGCATTGGTTCTCTGTCATGTATGTGAAGTTGAGACACTCTTTGGTAGAGATAAATATAGATGAGACAGTCACATCTCAAGCAAGCTATAGTATAACCTTGTCGACTTTTAAAAAGAGCAGGATGTTTACCCGGTTGACTAGCCCTGCACGTCATCATTACAAAGAAAACTGCAGTTGTAACGAGGGACATTAAAGGTAGGGTCTATTACAAAGTTTTGGGAAATTTTGAAAATTGGGTGGATAGTGATTCTTTACAATTTTGATATATTTGGATGCCCCTGTGGAAGTATTATAAGCACTAGAAAATTTAGCTCCTAAAACACTTCTGCTTTCGAAAAAAATTGAATATAAAAATTTACCGGTGCTCCCGGTAAATTTTGATAAATTTAAAATAGCGCCTACGGTCGTACAACGGTAGCTGCTACCATAAAAATCCCGGAATATGTAGTTGTGATATATAATTTCAAAAAGGTAATAGCCAATCGGTCAATTGTAGCTTGTTGTATAGCTGAATTAATATATTGACCTTGAGAGAGAGTTATAGTATACCCCATAAAGAGATTATTATTTACAATTTCATCACTTTAGACTCGATTTCAACGCGACAACATTCACTGAATATTGTAGGATCGCATATGCTTCCAATATTTTCATTTGAACCAAATTCATCCGGAGGTCTAGTGGAGCCAGACGTAGTCTCAGTGGAACAACCGACGATATAGAGACTGAAGCTTTCGGTCTACTGTAGACCTAGGCTAGACTATCAATATCATATGATTCATGAAATCTGAATTAAAAATCCAAGGCAAGAGATAACAAAACGTAATTTCTTAAATTTGCCGATTCCATGCATCTAGTCTCTAGACTAGATCAAATTAAAACGGTAGGCCTACCCAATGCAGTGGGGCGTATATCCAGGCGCGGATCCAGGGGGGGGGCCGAGCGGGCCTTGGCCCCCCCCCCCCCCCCGCAAAAAAAAAAAAAAAAAAAAAGAGAGAGAAGAAAGGAAAAGAAGGGAAAGAGAAAGGGAAAGAAAGAAGAGGAAGAAGAAAAGAAAAGGGGGAAGAAGGAGATTGGGGAAGGCGAAAGGGCCTTGCCTCCCAGGCTGTTGACCCCCCCCCCCCAATCAAAAAAATAAGAGAGAAGGAAGGAAAGGGAAAGAAAAAAGGAAAAGAGGAGATACTGGCGTACTGATAGGGGGGGGGGGGCTTGGGGGAAATCAAATTCAAACGTAGTTTATTTCTAATTCCACAACGGTGGATTACAAATAATGCTGAAATGACATAATTTCCGAGATTTTTCCTCACTTTTTAGTTGATTCCTACTTGTCAGGGCCCGAGGTACGGCGGGGATCGGGAGCCCCGAGCCCCCCCCCCCCTAATTTTTTGAAAAAGTATATTAAAGAGAAATAAAATAGAATGAGAGCAAGAAAGAAAGAATAGTTAACTGCCAGTGTTGAAAAATAATGAGGCATCAAAATATGCTCATCTGACCGTGATTAATGCCTAAAACCCCGAAGCTTCCAGGGGCTCTGCCCCCTGAATTTCACCTAGGGCCCTACGGCGGGCCCTTAGATGCTCATCTGACGGTAATTTAATGCCTAAAACCCCTGATATTTTGGGGCTCCGCCCCCTGGACCCCACGCCAAATAGTGACGTGCCAGTCTCACAAAATAATAAGGTATACAAAAAAAATGCTCATCTGACCTTAATTAAACGCCTAAAACCCCTGAGCTTCCGGGGCCGGCTCCGCCGCCTCGACCCCCCCCCCCCCCAGGGGCCCTAAGACGGCCACTGATTCAGACAAGGATTAAGAGTATAGAGAACGATACAACGCATCGTCTTCTTTCTCTAATAATATAATGAATCGTCAAAGCTTCGCGCAGGAGGGGAGGGGGGGGGGGACTGAATTCAGACAAGGATTAAGAGTATAGAGAACGATACAACGCATCGTCTTCTTTCTCTAATAATATAATGAAACGTCAAAGCTTCGCGCAGGAGGGGAGGGGGGAACCTGAATTCAGACGAGGATTCAGAGGCGAGAACGGTAATACGAATCTTTAATGATTTAATGAAAGGTAAAAGCTTCCGCGCTTCGCGCGGGATGGAGGGGGAACTAAATTCCGATGAGGATTATTTTCGAGAACGGTACAACGAATCGTCTATTTTCTCTAATGATTTAATGAAACGTAAAAGCGTCCGCGCTTCGCGCGGGAGGAGGGGGTTGGGGGAGAATCTAAATTCAGACGAGGATTATTTTCGAAAACGGTACAACGAATCGTCTTCTTTCTCTAATAATTTAATAAATCGTAAAAGCTTCCGCGCTTTGCACGGGAGGGGGGAACCTAAATTCAGACGAGGATAAAGAGTCAAGAACTCGACAACGAATCGTCTTCTTTCTCTAATAATTTAATAAATCGTAAAATTTTCCGCGCTTTGCGCGGGAGGGGGAAAACTAAATTCAGACGAGAATTATTTTCGAAAACGGTACAACGAGTCGTCTTTTTTCTCTAATAATTTAATGAAACGTCAAAGCTTCCGCGTTTCGCGGAGGAGGGAGGGGGAAAATCGCCCCTCCCTGCACCGACCCCCCCCCCCCGCATTATGTCACTGTTGGTCACCATTACGTACCAATATTTGGCTCGCAAAATTTCAAATTTGGGCCCCCCCCCCCTAAGAAATCCTGGATCCGCGCCTGCGTATATCATTTCAACTTACCTCTCAGTGAGCTGGCATGTCTATTGCATCCTCTAGACTCGGCAACGAGAAGGCCGCCTGCAGCTCGCGAAGTTTCTCCGCCGTACCCTGGCCTTGTTCACAGCCACTCCCGCGCCTCCTCTGGGCCGGATGGTCGAGCTGCCATTGCTTGTTTCTCTCCTTCCTCTTACCGTCTTACTTAGTCTTATTCCGATTTAGCGTAGCCTTAGCCTTGTCCTTAGGCTTAGCACTAGCTGAGTCCGAGTCGGCCATCGTCCGTGACATCGAGCTCCTTTTCCAATCTCGATCTCGTTATCGTATTTCAATCAAAGCTTGTCTGGACTGTAGCTGTCTATTTAGCGTTCGATCGGCGCCGGTGATAATCTGATATGAGCTGTGTGTGTTATACTTTACGTGAAAGCAGCGTATTGGAATTGATCAGCTGTACTGTATTACTAGCGCGCGGTCGGATACCCGCCTGCTAGCTACCTGTAGTACTGTACGTACCAACGAACTCAAACACTCGTTGTAAATACGCTGGTTGTTAAATGACATAGAGGGAGCTAAACACGTAAATTCAAAAAATAAACCGTCGAAAGTCAAAAGTGATGTCCGGACGTCAAACACTTTTATATAATGTTTTGAAAGCAAATTGCACAACAATTAGAGCATTTGATTTGGAATTATTATCATCTCCCATGTTTTTTTCGATGATCTTTCATATGGTACTGAAATAAACCAAATTTGTTTTGGAGGGGCACTTTGGAAATTACCAATACTCAACTATACCTTTAACCGGGCGCCGGGCGATTTTTACCCCCCGGTCCCTGACTTTTGGCGCCCGGTAAGACGGGGAAAATGAGTACCGGGCGCCGGTCCATTTTTATTTCTGGCGCCCGGTCTGGGAGAATTAACATTTTCTGTTTCATAAACTTCCACATGTCTAGTACTAAATGCTCACAAATGTGACAAAAACTTACTTGATACGAGTTAAACGTAGACTGAATGAACCCTAACAAATCATTATATAATGAGAATCCTAATTAAAATCGCCCAGAAACAATTGCACCACTAATACGAGCGGCCGCAATCTCTTACTCCTAGCGGAGAACGGAGCACACAATACAGGTGATGTACACCACTCAAAGACGAGCGCATTTCCCCAGGCCATGCATACACACACAAATGACATCAGTGCTGTACTGCACTACACACACAGTGTCAGTACAAGAAAGTCTCGATGTAACTTCCAAAAATCCATCCCAAAAGCCAAATTTTGCTGACTAAAATGCGGAATCGGAGCCATATTTCCAAAGCTCACGGGGGTTTAGCCCAGTTTTAAGAAACAGTTTCATCAAAATAGCGCTAAAAATCAAGAAATCAGCGATTTTGTTGCCAGTTTTGTTGCCTATCGCATGCCCTTCGGATGTAATGGTATCTTCAAAAAGCCAAATGAAAAACAGAACACCGGACCTGCTGATGCATTGACTTTATGTACAAAGTTGATTGCAACTCCAGACTTGCCTAGATTCAGCGGCCCTCGTACTCATTGTCTAAAATTCTGTGATGTTTTAAATAATGGATTTTTCTGATAAAATAGGTAAATATATTTAACAATTTTTTTTAAAAAAATTTAAAATTATTATTATTATTTTATTATTTTTTTATTCTTTTATTTTTTTAAGTGACGGGTCTAAATAACAAACACGTTAAACAGGCAAAATCTGTTTTTTCAAGCTGAATAATATGTTTTTTGAAAGTGACAGGTTGGCAGCTCTGCATTGTCATTATAGATGGTTTTTCTTAAGTATTTTTTTTATAAAAATAATTTAATTCCCCCCTTCCTAACATTTTTCAATTTTTGACATTTAACGGCATGAAAATAGTATTAAACATAAACTACAACAACTACATATGACAGATTTATCCAAGGTATGAGTGATTTAATATTAGAGTGCTCAAAATGTAAACTAGAAATTAAACTACCGTATGTATAAATAAAAGGTAACGTTTAACAAATAATTTAAAAGAATACATATTTTCATCAATTTTGGAAATGGCTCCTGGTCCTGGAAAACGGCTCCCGGTTCTCTAAAAAAATTAAGGACCGGGAGCCGCTTTTTCAGATATTTGGCTCCCGGTCTGCTTTGACTTAATAAAAGGCTTGACGCCAACATCCGCGCTCGCGCTCATAGAAGATATACACAGCGCAGCCCGAACGTGATCGTTAGTTCCCCCCCCCCAATCTACGGGCTACTACCCCAATCCTTCGGTGGTTCGCGACCTCGTAGTCCATCCAGAAAAATTTACTCCTAATTTCTCTTGTCTCAGGTTGGCAGGTATGCATAATGTCCTCCTCATTATTCGGAGCAACCTTATTTACATTCTTTCTTTATTTTTAATCTTTACCCTATCCTTCCAAAACACAAGGGCAGATCTAGCTCTTTGCCAAGGGTTGGGGGTAACCCAAATACGATGTGGAGCATCGTCCACGAGCCGCATAGCTGCGATAGAGGCAATTTTTGTTGTTGCTATTTTGAACCCCGGTATTAGTGATGTTTTCCTGGCATGTACTAACATGCGGAGCATCATCCACGAGCTGCGAAGTGGCGAGGCGATTTATTGGTGCTATTTTGAACCCCGTTAGTACTGACATCTACTAATACTGTGTAGGTCTGGACACATTATAACATTTTTCTATGCACATCACATTTTCACTTGGCAGCCCAAGGAGCTAGGGAGGGGGGGGGGGGGGTGGGTTAAAGTTTAGCCCCCTAAACCGCCTAGATCCGCCCCTGCAACATCTTTGGTGATCTTCTTCTCAATATTGATTTACTGGTTGAGTTACATTATTTTGCTGGTCTTTTAGAATAACCAGATTTCAGCGGATTCACACTTTTCACAACCAAAAACTTCTCCATGTTTCAGTCCTTGCGCGATCGTCTCCAGCTCCAGCAGATATATTGGGCGTCAGCGTGCACACCAGTACTACCGGCGCAGTATTATAGCCACTGCTGACGGCCGCACTAGCTGCACTGCAAGCTTCCGTTGTTTGAGATGGGAGAGAAAGCGCCATCTAAGTTCCATTTCATTGGTTTAAGGTTTGAAAATTGATACTCAATATTGTGTTAAAGCTATATCAGAAAACAGAAAAGATATCTTTATTTTATGATTCCACGGGGGCGATTTTTAATTTTGCAATCGCCCCCGTGAGCAACCTGACGGGGGCGATTATGGAGCTCACGGGGGCGAATTGCCCATCGCCCCCGTGTATTTTGAGTGCTGGTTGTGTAGGTATGGGCTCTCCAAATTGGCTGAATCAGTAATGTCTCTGTGGTGTAGTGGCGAACAATTTCCCATTTGTTCCAACACGGGGACAAAAATATTTTTTTCATTTCGGGGGCTCCATTTAAAATTTTTGGGGGCTACATTTTCAAATTTTGGGAGCTTTTTTTCCATTTCGGGGGCTCTTTTTTCTTTTTCATTAATTCATCTAAGGATTCAGTTTGTTGAGTTTATTTAGAAGGCTTAGTGGCTTATATATCTTTGAGGTTTCGGGCTTCCTGCTTCATAATTACCCATTCAAAAAGAAAGCATTTTTCTAGTTAAAGATAAAGACCAGTTATGGTCATGCGATTGCAGTGTGAAAGAAACTTTGTGAAATCGATCAGAAAAGGTTGATCATCTAGCATAGATGTACTGCAAGGTTCTGGAATCATCAAAATGATAAGAAATTTGGCCCAGTCTTCATAAAGTTACAAGCACTGTACACAGAAAGATGTATATGGGACTACGCACATGTGTGCGACACATGCGTTTTTATCTCTCGCATCTCAATTAGTAGGCGGTTTCCCGGCAAAATTTTATCATCATGTATTATTCAAAACATATTCTTTCACATGATTGGTATTATAGGAGCTTCCATTTCATTTTTCCAATACTGGTCTTTCCCTTTAAATAACTAAGTTTTAATGCATTGATTTGATGCAAGAACTGTAACGTAGTAAAAGTATTACTAATGTATCTGTTTTGAAACGACTGTCTGATTTTCTTGTGAAAACTTTACTTTGAAAAATGTTTATCGAAATTCTGTATACAACTATACATGGCCCGAATAATCACAATCTATTAAAGCTCGGGTTTCATACCTCTATTCACAAAACTATATTGAAATCGTGGCAATAATGATGCAAACAGACAGCAATTGCAAAGTGTTGTTGAGCCTCTTCAACTCGAGTGCTAGCTCACATAGCTCACAGTTCAGACAGCAGCTGCAGTGGCACTGTACTCTACGTGTGTGGACTCAAGGCAGCTTGCAACTGAATTGTCAGTCACAATGATTTTCTCTGATTTTCTTGTGAAAACTTTACTTTGAAAATTGCTTATCAAAATTCAGTAAACATGGCCAGAATAAATCAAAATAATCTTTGATTTCATACCTCTATTCATGAAAACGATATAAAAAATGCGGCAATCATGATGGAAATTGATTTTAGTTTCGGAATGTTTAGCGAATGGTCTAGGTTCAGCTAATATGATCTATCAAAACAAAATCGACCGCCAAAAACTTGGTCCCTACGCTCTGTCTCGAAACCTCAAAAATGTTCATGTTTTCGCGTACCTGCGACATGGGAAGCCAGGTAAGGTATGGATCAAGTTTTTTATGTCCAAATTTGTGTATATAATTTTACACAGAGATTCAGTGCAAATCATTACCTTTTTTGATGTCGCTCCCGTAATCAGATTTTTGGCCTATTTCGTTGGGGCTGTTTATGGTGTTTCTGGGCGAATTTGCCCGCCGCCCCCAAGTATTTTTTTTTCCCTGTTTCAACACACAAAATAACTAAATTCTTCAAAACGTTTGACTCAGGAGGGTCGATTCTCTTTAAAATGACCTATAAGAATACGCTGCCCATAATATATTTTGAGTAGTGCCCCAAGGGAGAAGAGACACTAGAAAAAACAGAAATTAATGATATAATTTTTGTACATGATAAACAAGACAGTTATCCGCGACTATGTCACAATCCACTGATCAAATTGCCAATTTGAGATTGGCAAAGACTTAGTGATCTCATATTTCAAACATTTATAGCTTTCCTTTTATTGCTCCAATTTACCAATCTATTAATCTTATTTGTATGCCTCCACCCACTAAAAGTGGTGCTGGAGGCATTATGTTTTCAAATTGTCCATCCATCCGTCCCACTTTCTCGTTATTGCGATATGTCAAGAACTACTTCTTAAAATTTGATTCATAATGGTCCTACTATAGGAGAACTCCTAACCTTATGTGATTCGTGTGAAGGTGAATTTCAGAGTATGAACAATGTGTTTGCTCCAGGATGGAAAGAGTCATTTTCACCTCATCACCTCATTATCACCTCAGAAGGAAAGCTGTAAGAAAAGCTTTGACATTTCCTGCAGGTCACTTTAAAAGAAAGGAAAACCATGTACATGTAGATGCATACATATGTTTTTTTTATTTTACTTTTTTGTGATATTGTAAAATGCTTTTTGTGTATTTTATTTTTAGGTATCAATGTTGGTTCTTTCTATGCTATTTCAACACTTCTGAACCAGGTTATCTTGTCAGAGTTTCCAGTAAGTATCAACAGAATTAAGCCATGTTCAGATATTTATCTTTTTATTGTTTACCTCATCATATCTGAACAAGCCCTACATGAAAAAACTGTGTAATTTTTGTATGAAATGTTACTCATATTATATTCCTTCTACTGTACTAACCCTCTAACATTCAAACAATCCTGAAAAACTCAAACCATAAATATATGGTGTCACTTTTTTTGTAAAGGCTGCCAATAGCCACCTGTCTACAACAGCCATTATTTGTGTTTCCCTTGGGTGGTCGCTATCGACAGGTTTGACTGTATTTAATTTTTTTTTTTTTTATCCATCTTCTTTATTTTCCCCTGTCTTATCTACTGTTTTTCCTGTAATATTTCATAAATTATTTACTTCTCCCTCTACTTTATCCTCATCTTTTTCAATTCTGCTACCTCCTCTCTTTTTAATTCTCTCTCTCTCTCTCTCTCCCCTCCTCTCCCCCCTCCCTCTCTCCCCCCTCCTCTCTCTCCCCCTCCTCTCTCTCTCCCTCTCCTCTCTCTCCTATCTCTCCCTGTCTCTGCTGTTTCTTCCACAACATGTTTGTCAAACATTACTAGGGTGCTGAGGTGATGGTAGGAGTAATTGGTCTCACACTAGTGCTGGCTGGAATGGTGGGCTCTGTTGTAACTGGCTTCTGGTTGGACAAGACACGTTCCTACAGGTTTGTTTATTAAATTTTATTCACTCATGAAAGATAACAATATTACTATTATTAACCACATCAAACATCTAGAGCAAACAAGAAATGTTTGGTATATTATACTATTAAATGATGTAAAATACAGTAGCCTACACTGCACAGGGTTTGTTGGCATAAAAAGTTGCAAAAACATTGTCAAACCAGCACTGTGCATCCAATGCTTGACAAATTTTTTGATACACTGCAAATGGTGTGCCTTGGGTGTGATTATTACATCACAATGATCTGATAACAGTTGGTAATCATCTTAATTTTTCATGTAGGTCTTCATCATCTGCTCGATTAATTTAATATTTATTTGGTCTTATGATCTAACCTTCCCAAAATTAACATTATAACTTACTTTTTCCGGTCATGATTTGTCCTGCTTCTTCTTCTTCTTCCTTCCCCCTTTTCCCCTTTCCTTCTTATCTGTTTTACTTCTCCTTGTTCGTTTCGTGTTTGTAAATTGTATGTTGTTTTTAAATATTGTTGTGTTTTCTAAGTCTTCGTAGGCAAAATTTGAAACATTTTTATTTTAATTTTTTTCTGGGGGATCCACAACCTACAAGCACTGCTTTTTAGTGGATCCATATATCCATTACTAAACATTATACTATACACAAATCAAGACAACAAACATATATACAACAAACAAATATAAATATGTCTTGATTTTAAATGATTATTGCAGTTTATCTATAAGAAATTTCTCATACCTACGTTTAAAAACATTTACACTAACAGAATTATGAATATAAGGGGGAAGAGTATTCCACAAAAAAGGTCCTTTGAAAATAATTATTTTTTGGTTTAGTACTGTACAAGTCAATGGCAGGTGAAATTGTTTAGCATTTCTAGTATTATAACTATGAATATTACAGTTTAAAATAAACAATTTGTAAATAGAATCAGGAATAAGATTGTGATGACATAAATACATAAAAACACCTACTTGTAATAAATGTACGTCCTTATATTGCAACATGATTAATGAGTAAAATATTGGATTGGTATGGGCAAGAAAAGAAGAATGATTAATAATTCTTATTGCACGTTTTTGTAATTTAAACAATCTATCTTGATATATTAAAGCAGCATTGCCCCAGACAATATTAGCATAATGTAAGTTAAGCTATGGTCACAAATCAAAGCGGCGACCGACCGAGTAGTAGCCTGCTCGGTCGCCGCTGGAATTTAGGCAATGCCCAGCGATTTTTGGACAAAACTGGGCAAAATCGGGGAGCTTTTCCGCGCATTGTCCCGTTAGTGACCGACCCGTGACCCACCGATTCCCGAGCAGTCTCCCACTGGCCGCCGGCTGATTTTAAAGATATTGCCGGCCAGTGATCGGCGGGGCTCCAAAATACGCCGCCCAGGCACCGAACTAATCGAGCGTTTGCCGTCGAGTGATTTAGGTAAAAAAATCAAAGCCGCTAGGTCAAATGCTGCCGACTGTTTTTGGACTCGCCGCCCAGTGACCGACTGATCTCCCAGCGGCGACCGGGCGGCGACTGCTCGACACCCTTTGACCTAGCGGCTTTGATTTTTTACCTAAATCGCTCGGCGGCGACCGCTCGATTAGTTCGGTGCTCGGGCGGCGACCGCCCGGTCACCGAGCGTAGCTTGGGCGGCGAGTGAAAGTGAGCAGGCGCCGCCTGAGTTTTAACTTCGCGCTAAAACTTCAGCAGCGACCGAGCGATGCCTTAAAAATAAGCGGTGCCTCGACGGCCGCTGCTCAGTGGCAGGGCAAAATTGGCTCAAAAATCGCCGCTCGGCCGCCGAGCAGGCTACTTTTGCGTAATGTGACCATAGCATAAGGGTTAACAATTGCACAGTATATCATTTTGAGTATAATTTTAGGGAGAGATTTCAATCTGTACATGACACCAATACTTTTAGATAATTTGTTGCAGATGACACCAATACGATGAGATCAAGAGAGCTTATCATCAATAATAACACCCAAGAACTTTGGTGAAGAAACTCTTCTGAATGTTTACATTTAGCATTACCTAGTTTGATTGTTATTGAGTCTTTATTTAGTTCCTTTTTGGTAAAATCATAAAATTAGTTTTCGTTTCATTAATTTAAAGTTTATTAGCATAGAACCATTGAACAATTAATCCAATCTCAATATTAAATGTACCGTATTTGCCGGCGTAAAGGCCGCAGTATTTTTTGAAGAGAAAATATCAAAAAATCGGGGTGCGGCCTTTGCGGCGAAAGAGGAAATTTTTTTTTTTAAATCGCAAGTCAAAATCATGAAAAACAGGCAAATACAGGGGTTTCAAGACTATTGTTTTTTTTGTGTGAAAGGAAAATACTAGTGTCATCTGCAAACAGAATACATTTAAACAATTTTAAAACCTAGACAAAGCATTTATATACAAAATAAATAAAAGTGGTCCAAGAATGGAACCTTGTGGCACTCCACTTCTAATTAGCTGTAACTATGATTTGTTTTTATTTAATGCAACAAATTGTTTTCGATTTGATAAATATGGAAACTTTAAATATTTTCAATGTTATACCCCTAATTCCATACATACCTGTTTACAATTTCTCCAGTAAAATACTATGGTCGAGGGTGTCAAATGCTTTAGTGAGATCAAGAAATAAGCCAATTGTTTTTTCTTCATTACCGGTATCTATTGCACTTCCTACTTTATGAACAAATTCTATCAAAGCTGAAGATAGTGAGTGTCCTGCTCTAAATCCATACTGGTTATTATTTATAATAATGCACTTTGTAATAAAATTTAAAAGTCTGGTAAATATATACACCTTTCAAAATTTTTGGAAAAAAACGGGTAAAACAGAAATAGGACGATAATTAGACATCACTTCTGGTGGACCACTTTTAAAAATGGGTGTAACACAAGCTATCTTTATCGATGTAGGAAATTCTCCACATTTAAAGCTTATCTGCCATAGTTTACAGGAGGGATTAGACAGCCCTGCAAGGTCACTGGACAGGTGGTTATCTCATCAACTCGGCTCTCAGTTAACATAAGAAAAAGAGGATTATGGGGGACCAATGGTCACCTATTAGGCATTGTTTGTTATATAGAGGGCGCAAGTAGCTACAAGTAGTGCAGTGGGCCTTTAAGGCATTGGTTAAATATTGCACTGAGATGTTCACTTATCTTATGTATAATCCGTTTTATTACTTTAAAATCTATTTCATCATAACCTCTACTAGAATTGGACTTGAGTTTGTCTACAATATCTATAATTTTTCTTCACTAGTAATAGGTTTAAAAAATGCAATTTGATCGTTTTTAATTACATAATTTTTGAAATCATTATTGCACGAAGAAAAAGAAAGGTTCAAGTTATGACCGATGTTTACAAAATGTTCATTCAATATATAACAAATTTCCATATCAGTTGTAATATTTTTTTCATTACATTGAATAGATTTAATAACAGATTTCTTATTCTGCTTACCAAGAGCCTGATTGATAACGCTCCATGTTTTTTTCATGTTCCTTTTATTATTCTGAATTTTTTCTCTCCATCATACGCTCTTTTTGCACTTTTGATCATATTCGTTACTTTATTTCGACATTTTTTTATAAACATTCTACAGTAGGATTCTTCAAATATAGCTTATCTGTTTTTCTTTGTACTCAACTTCCGAACATCACTTGTAAACCAAGGTTTGTCCCTACGCTTTTTTTTTAAAGATATAAATTCAATAAGAAAACAAATGTTATATGCGTCTGTTGAGTTGGTGTTAGGGGTTAAATTTGCTTATGGAACGCTCTTAATGGAACCACATAGGAAACAACTTCCTCGACAATCAATCAAGGGATCAATCAATCAAAAACACCCAAACACTTTCTCAATCGATTTGAATTGCGAAATCAGACGAGGAAAACTTTGGTTTATTTAAATGGTATGATCCATTGTATATTTAATTGGATGTCGGGTGATAAAGACGAGCGTGACAATGAAGTACTTTGACGATGGTTGGTGAAGACCGAACTAGGATGTCGTGAAGGTCACACGAAGGTAGCCTGAAGATCGAGGAACTCTGCCAATGTTCGTGGATGGCCACGTGGCGTGGTGCACTGCAGCGATGAACCACGACCGCGAGATCGGGGTTCCGTGAAGACAGTTCACGCGTCAGCAGGAAACACCAGAAATGAAGATTGTCGAACCCAGTTCGAAATTAAATTGTCGCCAAAATATACGAATGAAATGCCGATAAAATACTCTTTCGATGAATTAAAGATGTCAGTAGACCCAGTCTACAAATAAATGTCGAAAAGGGCAAAAGTGAAAACACTCAATTCCCTTTGTAACAAGAAAGCAAAAATATGTGTTGCTCGGCTGAACGTAAAACGGCGACTGGTGCTATGCGTGGCAAATCTGAGGCAAATCTGAGGAACGCCCAACAGGGCCTTCGCTGATTGGTTAAACTTGTTTACCGCTATTGTCATGATTGCCGTTTTAGTACAATTACATGATTGATGCATATATATATAATGAATTAAGACATGTTTTAAAGGAAAGTAATCACTTATAAAATACTAGAGAACGATAGTGAATTTTCCTCTATCTTATGTCATGGTTACATAATTATTATACAAGTTTTGAAATTCATAATAAAAACGGTTTTGTCCACTACACATCCATGAATTGTCTAGAGAAATCATAACTCTTATCAGTATTATTTTCATTGAGATGCCATCATTGGTAATTCCCAAAAAATAAGCAAATCTACTAATATTATTATCATGTATTTCTCTTCTTTCATGAATTATTTCATCTAAAGTATTTTCGCACAAACAGTAAACAGGAAAGTATTCGCTTAATTCAGATAAAATAATACCTACATGGGTTTGGGAAGTATCATTTGTAATAGTATTATCAGTCAGGGATATGGAGTGTTCGTTTACACGAGTCGGATATTTCACAAGAGCGATAATGGAATACAACATTAAAATCTCTAGAAAATCATTAACAGATTGCAATTTACCCACCTTAACCACTAGACTGGTATTGGCTTAAAACATGTTCATACCCCCTGTGGTACAGCATTTTTGTGCTGTACAAAAACTGTACACTGTACACAATTTTTTGGAAGAGCGCCATCTACTGTTCGAGACCTGTATAACCTCATTGCAGTGCTAATTACACGGTATGTTGTACGTGGGGAGGAAGGTCTGCAGATCATAGTTAACTTTAAGGTTAACTTTTTCCATACCTGGGCAGCTTGACCACATGCACCTGCTTTTGAAATATATATGTATGTTTTCTATAGATTTTGTCTGAATTCATGTTTTTTATATTGTTGTATCATGTGACTTGATTAGCCAAATGAAATAATAATAATAAATGTTAGCATTACATGTCAACCTTTATCTAATCTTCTGTTCTTGTTATCAAGTGTTATGATGTATTATTATTCTCTTCTTATTTTGATTTATTATTACAGAGGAACAACAGTGGCTGTATATGTTCTATCTCTGGTTGGCATGGTTTGTTTCACATTCACACTCAAACTAGGTGAAATCTGGGTGGTCTTTGGAATCACCGCTCTTCTTGGGTAAGATTAGTATATCAATTAATAGTGCATTTGTGAAAGCTGAAGCATATCTCAATGATCTCAAACTGTTGCAATATTAAAATGAAAATGAATACCAGGTATTCAATATTGTAATTTGCCATAAAAGCGTACATTGCATCAAGAATTTTTTTGATATTGTCAATATAGAAATGCTAGTAATTTTTCATATTAATGTTTAATGAAATATCATATATTGACATGATAGAAATTGTAACAGAACTATGAATACATTTGGCAAAGTGAAATTGCAAGCCAAATTAATGGAGCTCTCACACTCTGCCGTGTAGGCCTACCGTCCACCTGCCGGGCTATTAAAAAAACAACAGAGTCCAGAACGTTGGGTTTTGAGCGAACTTGTCCCCGGCCGCAAAAAAAAATTCATAAACTTAATCTTTTCACCGTTTCGTTGCCATCTTCTGACCGTTCTCACCGGTCGCATACCGGGTGTTGAACGTGCTTCTACCGTCTTCACCGCCCAGATTGACTTTTGTTGAAAATTTTGGCCGTTTCCATACCGGGCCCATACCGGGTCTCGAACGTGTGCACCGGGTTTGTAGCAGCCACCTACCAGTCACTTAGCGTCCCCTCACCGCTCAGAGCGTCCTGTGAGCGAGTCCCCGGACTGCTGACGTCATGACACGACTGCCATAAATACCCCGATTTTAACGGCAATGGTCAGTCCGCTCTCCATTTTTCATCACCGTTCTGTAACGGGTTATGAGCGTGTTGTGAATGTGTTCATACAGTGTGACCGTTTTCATAATGTATTCATACCGTCCTCATACCGTTCAACACCGTCCTCTTGCCGCTTACTTGCGGCCAGTGCCACCCGGCCAAAGTTTTGAACATGCCCAAAACTTTCGCCGGGTCCCACCGGGTGTAAATAAGCGCCAACGCCCTATTAACGTGTTGCCCGCTTTGATAACGAACCACCGTGTGCCCTCGCCGTTCTCCACCGTCCGCAGACATTTTCGCGCACGGTGGCACACGGTAGGCCTACACGGCAGAGTGTGAGAGTCACTTAAAGTCCAATTTGCCATGCCGTTGTTGCATGAAGGTTTGCATGAGCATGTGCATGAAGGTGTTAATACAGCACTCCTAGGTTTTGTTTCATGTAGCCATAAGTTAGGTGCACACGAGAGCTAGATAATGGGTTTAAAGTATGAGGGTATCTTACCATGTGGACACACATGTGATAACAAAATGTTCAATTCATTTGAATTTGTAAAAAATGAGTAATCTTAGTGTTTAAATGAAAACTACAAGCAGCTGGGGGTCCTCATTCGTAGTTACCTGCTGACAAGTACAAATTAGTTTCTTAAAAGACTCAAAAGACTTAAGGTCAAACAAACGCTTCTTCAACTTGTAATTCAAAACTTTGAACCCTTTTTGTTTTGTTCCTGTGTGAATCCACATCGTTGTTTGTAGGTTGTGGATTCCAAATGAGAGGTTTTGCAAAGTGACATTTTTAGGATTCATTTTAGTAGTTATGCCCTTTGACAAGACCTCAATCTGTTGGGCCCTTTTTTTAAAATTATTTACCGGTATATAAATGACTTTTGTAAATCATCCAATGTCCTTTCATATATAATTTTTTGAGACAATTGTAATCTCTTTATTCCCATAAAAATCCAATTACTTTCAATGTTGTAAATTCTGAACTTGAAAATTCACCCAAAGGATAAGAGCTAATAAACTATCCCTTAACCTCCAAATAACCAAATATATGTTATTTAGTAATTCTATAGACACACTGCCCATGGATATTGTTTTTGACGATACCCCCTTGGAAGTTGTCTCATACTAGGCATAACTGTTGACAACAAACTTTCGCAGAAATATAGATAATACATGTAAGATTATTTCACAGAATATTGGCATAATAAATAAACTTAAATTTCATGTCCCTACATCATCCCTACTCATGCTTTAATCTTTAATTTTACCATATCTGAATTATTGGATACTTGGGGATAAACGCAGCAATGTCTATTAAAAAGGCTGTTGTCATTACAAAAGAAGTCTCTCTGTTTTATCTCCAATTCTGCTTTACTCTCACACACAGTCCCGTTATTTGTTAATAGCTGACTATTAAAAACAAATGACCTGTATCTATTTCACTTTGGACAATTTATGTATAACTACAGTAGAAAGACCCTTCCACATATATTTGATGCCATGTTCCCCCTAAATCTGTCATTTTATAATTACACAAGCAGTCGGTGTAACGAGTTTTACCTACCACTTTTTAGAACTTATTAGCGAAGAAGCCATTTATGTATGATGGTCCTAGAATTTTGAATTTTCTAAGTGAAGCAAATAAAAATAGTCCATCCCTAAATTCTTACAAGAAAAAATTAAAAATATTTTTGCACAAATCTCATAGTAGTATAGTAATAATGACTGCTTTGAGAGGGTTCCATGACATATGCTCCGCCGACGATTGCTCCGCCGACATTTACTCCGCAAAACGCGACAATTGCTCCGCGACATTTGCTCCGCGACATTTGCTCCGACGTCAAATGCTCCGCCGACAGGTGCTCCGCCGACAGTTGCTCCGCCGACAGTTGCTCCGCCGACAATTGCTCCGCCGACAGATGCTCCGCCGACAATTGCTCCGCCGACAATTGCTCCGCCGACAATTGCTCCGCCGTCAATTGCTCCGCAAAACGCGACAATTGCTCCGCCGACATTTGCTCCGCCGACATTTGCTCCGCCTGAAGCGACAATTGCTCCGGTGACATTTGCTCCGCCGACAATTGCTCCGACGACATTTGCTCCGCCGACAATTGCTCCGCCGACAATTGCTCCGTCGACAATTGCTCCGCCGACAATTGCTCCGCCGACAATTGCTCCGCCGACAATTGCTCCGCCTGAAGCGACAATTGCTCCGGTGACATTTGCTCCGCCGACAATTGCTCCGACGACATTTGCTCCGCATGAAGCGACACTTGCTCCGGTGACATTTGCTCCGACGACATTTGCTCCGCCCAAAAAGTGTCCCATTAAATACAAATGCTACTAGTACTACCACAAATGCTTCGCCGACAATATTTTTTTTTCACGGGTTGTTTTTGTTTCTTTTTTTCCCCTTCATTTTCTGAATGCATTTCATGAAATTATGTAAATGAAATGAAATGAATGAATGTTGATGATGTGGGAGGAAAAAGCAGTTGCCTAAAAGTCATTTCGAATATACTGAAATAACTTTCCATCTATCACTGTACGTCCCACATAATGTACACTAAACACTCATTACATGTCATGGGAATTTTTTTTTTTTTAAAGTAGAGCAGCAAGCCACATTCCCCAATACGCGCATACCTCCTAGTTAATTTCAAACAGCTCATCAATATGTAAGACCTGAAATTACCTCAATGAAAGAAGACTAATAACATGAGAGGAAAGAAAAGAGCAAAGAAGACAACCGTTTTTTGCTATTCCCCATAATGTTTGATTTAAAAAAATAAAAAATAAAGTTATAGCTCCTTACGCAAGTTCTCCGGCGAAAGATAATTACTCCGCTCAAAATCTGTTTCATGTATTACTCATTAGCTGATCCAAAGCTCAAGGCTATCTCTCTCTCTCTCTTTCTCTTTCTCTCTCTCCCATGCTCCTCCTTTTCCTGTTTACACCGTTTTCTTGTCTTCTTTGCTCTTTTCTTTCCTCTCATGCTATTAGTGCTTTCATTTCCATCACTTCTTCTCTGCTCCCCCTCTCGAGTTCTATTTCTCTCGTGAAATTGAAACGTAAAGTAATACAATCATGTAGTACATTCTTGTTTAGAATAATATTTTCAATAATATCCAGTCCATTTTCTAAAGGTTTCTTTCCTTTAGTTAAGTGTATGTAGCTTTAATATATATATGTTAGTGTGTAAAACACTCCGTTTCATTCGAGTACTTTGTTTTCACTGAATAATTTAAGGGACTCACGAAGCCACCGGAAGAAGAGCAATTGGCTTATCATGAAGAACTAACATCAAACTGCAACAAAATGATTTGTATAAATGTGAATAAGCAGAAAGGCTGCCATCTCATTTTCCCGTCTGAATGGGTTCTCTTCCTTACGTATATAAGTGCCCTTATTTTCTAAACTTCCATGATGACCTAGTACACTGTATAATGCTTTACCTAGTAAGATGCATTGATCGAGGTAATTTCAGGTATTACATATTGATGAGCTACTTGAAATTAACTAGGAGGTATGCGCGTATTGGGGAATGTGGCTTGCTGCTCTACTTTTTTTTTAAAAACTTCCCACGACATGTAATGAGTGTTTAGTATACATTATATGGGACGTACAGTGATAGATGGAAAGTTATTTCAGTATATTCGAAATGACTTTTAGGTAACTCCTTTTTTCCTCCCACTTCATCAACATTCATTCATTTCATTTCATCTACATTATTTCAAGAAATGCATTCAGAAAATGAAGAAGAAAAAAAGAAACGAAAAAAAATAGGTGTAAAGAAAATATTGTCGGCGAAGCATTTGTCGTAGTACTAGTAGCATTTGTAGTTTATGGGACACTTTTTGGGCGGAGCAATTGTCGGCGGAGCAAATGTCGGCGGAGCAATTGTCGCTTCAGGCAGAGCAATTGTCGGCGGAGCAATTGTCGGCGGAGCAAATGTCGGCGGAGCAAGTGTCGCTTCAGGCGGAGCAAATGTCGGCGGAGCAAATGTCGGCGGAGCAATTGTCGCGTTTTGCGGAGCAATTGACGGCGGAGCAATTGTCGGCGGAGCAATTGTCGGCGGAGCAATTGTCGGCGGAGCATCTGTCGGCGGAGCAATTGTCGGCGGAGCAACTGTCGGCGGAGCAACTGTCGGCGGAGCAACTGTCGGCGGAGCATTTGACGTCGGAGCAAATGTCGCGGAGCAAATGTCGCGGAGCAATTGTCGCGTTTTGCGGAGTAAATGTCGGCGGAGCAATCGTCGGCGGAGCATGTGTCGGGTTACCTTTGAGAGACATAGTTGTTTTTATACGCTCAAGGGGAGGTTACAATTGTGCTATTGCCCGAGGCAGTAATCATTCTGACATCTTTTGTTTCTCGACCGATTTTGATTTGGTTTGCTTTTTCTGGTAGAGCTAACTTTGGTACACTAAACTTCTACCAGAATTTTGAGATTTTGCTCCATTGATTAATTATGGTAATTTATGCAAATTTATTCCAAAAATAATTTAAAAATCACAAAAAATGTTTCTTCTCCTTCATATTTCAACCGATTTTGATTTGGTTTGCTTTATATCGTAGAGCTAACTTTGGTACACTAAATTTCTACACAGAATTTTGAAATTGTTCTCCATTAATTAATTATGGTAATTTATGCAAATTTATTCCAAAAAAACAAAAATTGCTTGTTTTTCCTCATTTATTGACCGATTTTGATTTGGTTTGCCTTATCTGGTAGAGCTAAATTTGGAACACTAAACTTCTACACAGAATTTTTAGATTTTGCTCCAGTAAATATTTATTGTACTTTATGCAAATTTATTCCAAAAATAATAAAGAAATCACGTAAAATTGCTTCTTCTCCTTCATATTTCGACCGATTTTGATTTGGTTTGCTTGATATCATAGAGCTAACTTTGGTACACCATATCTCTTTGCCGAATTTTGAAATTTTTCTCCATTAATTAATTATGGTAATTTACGCAAATTTATTCCAGAAAAAACAAAAATTGCTTCTTCTCCCTCATTTCTTGACCGATTTTGATTTGGTTTGCTTTATCTGGTAGAGCTAAATTTGGTTTACTAAAATTCTACACAAAAAAATTAACGATATTTGTTGTTGCGAGATGCGAGATGCGAGATGCGGATGAGCGCTACGTCATTGACATTCTGGTTTTCTTAGTTTTTATTTATTCTTTGCATTTTCCTTCTGTAACCTTCTCATATGTTATTCTTTGTTTTTTATCATTCTATCACTTTCTCTTTCTGTCTTTCCTTTTGTTATTCTTTGTTTCTTCCTTTTATCACCTTCTCTTTCTGTCTTTCCTTATGTTATTCTTTGTTTCTTTCTTCTATCACCTTCTCTTATGTTATTCTTTGTTTTTATCTTTCTATCAATTTCTTCCTACCATTCCTTATGTTATTCTGTGTTTCTTCCTTCTATTCTTTGTTTTTATTATTCTATCACTTTCTCTTTCTGTGTTTCCTTCTGATTTGTGCGGCGATATAGCAAGATGATGTCATTTTGACGAACCTCAAACCGTGGATGAACGCATATTTGAATTCGGCCTGATGACGTGAGACGACACGACGCATGCGCAAATCGCTGAAATGACGTCACATCTCTGATCGTCTGTGGACGTGACAAACGAAAAGGCCATAGTGATATTCAATTTTTTTTCTTCAAAGCAGAAGTGTATTAAGGGCTAAATTTTCTTGTGCTTGTATTAACATCCTCAGGGGCATCCAAACATCAAAGTTTTAAAGAATCGCTATCCGGCAATTTTCAAAATTTCCCAACAACTTTGTAATACCTTTAGGAAAAGGTGATAGAAGGAAAAAACAAAGGATAGTGTAAGGAAACATAGGAAGCAGAAATAATAGAATAATACAAAAACAGAGAATAACATAAGACAAGTTGAAAGAAGGAAGAAGCAAAGAATAACATAAGGAAAGACAGAAAAAAGTGATATAATGATAAAGAACAAAGAATGACATAAGAGAAGGTGATAGAAGGAAGAAACAAAGGATAGCGTAAGGAAAGATACAAATAGAAAATAATACAATAATAAAAACTATTAGGAAGAAAATGATAGGACAACAACAAGGAATTACATAAGAGATGACATGGTCAAGTGGATATGTCACCAGACTGAGAATCACAAGGTCTGCGGTTCAAGTTCCACCGTGGCACTAATGTCATTGGCAAGACATTGATCTACATTTGCCACTCTCCACCCAGGTGTTAAATGAGAGGGCCTTTGGTCCTGAGAAGCGCTTTATAAGACCTAGCTATTAAGAGAAGGAAAAACAAAGTATAGCATAAAGAATGGGAAGAAAATAATAGAAGGATTAAAACAAAGAATTACAAAAGAAAAGGTGATAGAAAGAAGAAACAAAGAATAACATGAAGAAAGATAGAAAGAAAAAATGATATAATGATAACAACAAACAACAAGAGATGATAGAAGAAAACAAAATAACAGAAGGAAGACAGTAAGAGAAAATGATAAAGAATAGAAGAGAAGATGAAAGGTGGAAAAACAAAGAATAACATGACGAAAGATAGAAAGAAAGAAATGATAGAACAATAAACAAAGTATAACATTGCTAAGAAGTGAAAGAAGGAAGAACAAAGACTAATATAAGGAAAGAGAAAATGATAAATAATAGAAAATTCAAAGATAGAAAAGAAGATGAGGCACTCTTTTTCAGTTTTAAATTTAGCGCAAAACATTTGACCTGCTGACCTTTGCTACCCCAGCAACAGGAGCGATCTAGCTCGTGAGCGTGAGCATAAACAAAGTGTACCTCTAGACCGATCTGGTGGAGGGATTCAGTGGATCGGTCTAGGAAGCGAGTCAGAACAGGGTCTTGGTTTCTAGTTCCAATGGGAATTTGACCAGGGTAGCTTTTGTTCTGTCTCATGGTTGTACATATAGGACTTTCTGTGTTTTAGTACTGACATACTACAACAACTTACATCTGTTTAATTACTAGATGATCTTTAAAATTGACTTTCTGGAAGCATAATGTTTTTCTCCTCTTCTGCTTGTGGGTCCATGTATAATGCATATCCCATGGCTTATCATTTGACCAAAGGTTCACGAGACCGAATATTAAAAACGTTCCCTGAGACCGAAGGTACGTGAGACCGCAAGTGTAAATGATATGCTGCAATCACTACTGAAAGGTATTCCTGAAAATATTCTGCCAGACCCAGAAATTAACAGTAATTCATAATCCTTGTAAACTTTCTGATAGATAATGGGTGTAAATTTGAATATTTTTCACCATTTTTAACAGCTTCTTTATGACTGGGTATCTCCCACTTGGTTTTGAGTTTGCTGCTGAGCTAACATTCCCGGAACCTGAAGGAACCTCTTCTGGACTGTTAAATGCATCTGCTCAGGTATAATGATACTTGTAATCATTGTCTTTGTCATTGTAAATATCATTATGATGTGGATTATCATTGACTAGAGTATGGATATGTTTGCTATGTATGACAGTAATTGAAGGGTGCAGATTGTGATAATCGTGAGATCATGATAGCACAGTAATGATGATGATGACAATGTATACATTGGAACTTGGTATAGCACATTGTCACAAAATATGTTGTTTCTGTAACACTTTGTGGAAATATATGTATAAGATAAAATAAATCACATTTAAGCTTTCAAGTGACTTGGTAATATAGTTCAAGGTTACTGTGTAATTTTGGTCTGAAATGTTACTTATTATATTCCTTCTACCATACTAACCCTCTAACATGCAAAACATCCTGAACAAATTCTCAAGCCACAAAGATATTTATGGTTTTCTTTGAAGGAGTCACTGTGCGACACCCTCTAACAGTAAATTCTCCCAACTAATTTTCGAATTTCCCAACCGTTTTTCCTTAAATTAAGACATGAACCAGGCTTTTAAAAATCTTTCGAGGTTGGAATGGTATATAGAGCCAATTCACTGCTTTGTGACAATTTACACTTAAATTTGAGTATATTATAATAATATAGTAGTGAGAATTCTGGAATCGATCAGATCAGGTTTTCCCAATTTTTGTCATTAATAATGTTCTGTTTTCACTCAAACTTTCAGATAATCTTTAATTGTACATCAAGCATTGAAGTCACTAGCTTAGCACCATTTTCTCTCATCTGAACAATGTTACCAAGTCCCTTTAAAGATAAAAGGAAATGTTAGGATGGCATACTGTGAGCATACTACATGTCTTAAAATGTTTAAACATGTATTTTTTGAAAATTTTCTATAGTTTGAACGTCTCAATTTAGTCTTGAAGTTCATTATAGAGTTCTGGCTCTGCATATCTAACAGCTTTTTAAATTCTGATTATGATGATGAATGTGCTGATGATGTACATACAATGCAGAGAAGAAGAATGACAAAGTAATGATAGTAAATATGTTTTTGGAATCTCATCAACACCTTGCCAGACTCATCAACATTTGTTTACATAGTACATATTTGAGTGACTTGTCTGACCTGAGGCCAAGCTAGCTGTATGTTCAACCTTATTTACACATTAAGTGGAAATTCACACTGTTATCAGGGAGAGTGTTAGAGAACTCTCCCTGCTGTTATTGAGTTATTTCTTTTTACAATGGCAGAAAAAAATAGAGAAACAGAGGGGATAAGAAAATGAAGCATTTTAAAAGTTGTAATCAAGTGGAAATTGGTGACTCTTTGATGTGCCTTGCAAGCACTGCTCCTATTTGTCTTCTATTCTAAATTCCATAAACTTATATTCTCCTGATAGCTAATACATGAAAAAAAAGTTTTGTGTAATAGCTATAGAACATGTTCAGGCATAATTATAATCTATTGCAGTTTAGGTCCCTTTTATAATTGAAATCATAAACAACTTTACAAAGATATTACATCCACGTTCCCAGTATTCCATGATTTGCCATACAAATATTAAAACAACACAATGTAACTGTAGATGGGAATTGCCCCTTAATATTAGCCAGGATTAATGTTGCTTTTTCTTCTTGTTTCCCCCCTGGTATCCATCTAGACTTTTGGTATCATCTTCACACTGGTGATGGGAGTGCTGGTCAATGAAGTCAATTCCTTGTCCGGCAATTTATTCCTCTGTGTATCCCTACTGGTTGGAACTATTATGACAGGTATGTCAAGATGCTACACTCAACCTGTAAAATTACAGATACAAGAAAATACACACCCAAGGAACAGTCATTGATAGTTGTTGATTTGTGGAAATGATACTTTGTACCTCTTATTGTTCACTACCTCTGGGAGTTGCAATGACCAGTAGGCCTATGTTTTTTTGTTATTGTTTTTTTATATTTTTTAAAACAAAGGTCATATGTACAGTCAACTCCATATAAACAAGTTACTGTATGTAAATGATATATAATTGATTTAAATGGTTATCTTAATGATTAATACTTAATAGATAGAATAATGAACCAAATAATGAAATTACATACCGTATGCATGCATAAAACCATCACAATTAAATGAATAGCAATTATAAAAAAAAACTGTAGAACAATTCTATATCCAATCTGTCTCTGAAAAGTCTCTTGGAGTATTCAAAGTTATGTTTTACCTAATTTTTGTTGTTGAAATATAGCTTTCATCAAGTCAGACCTAAGGAGACAAAGTGCTGAAAGACAAGAGGTATGATTCTTATTTCATTTCTATACGGTAAACGATATTACATGTACATATTAAATATCCTCCATAGACTTGTGTGTTGTAGAATTGTTTTGTTTGAAATAGATTCAAAGTGGATTTCACCTCCTACTGTTTCTCAGATTTGTGCTACAATACCATTATGTTGTAAATTCAAGACCTATCACCATAGGAAGATGAAATGAATGTATTCCTTGTTTAATTTATAAGGCACAAGAGCCTTATTAATATGTGTGAGGTCATCATGATCTTTCCTCTTCTGTAATCCAATATTTTGTGGAAATTATACCCCATTCAATCTAAATCTTAGATTAGGACAATTTTGAACTTCTTGTTGTTATTTATACCAAGTTTCCTTTAATGATAGATTGCTTTTAAGTTAATGCAAGCTAATTTCATGGCCTCAACTTCAAGAGAATTTTTTTTAGCTCATATCTTTGAGTTTAAATAAGAATAAAATAAAACACTCTGTATTAATTTATTTTTTTTAAGTTAAAAAAAAAAATTATTTGCAGATATTTGTTTTTATATCATGATTTCTTTTCCACCCCTGAAATCATATACGGTAATCATTGTTTCATTCATTAGGCAAATTAACTTTTGAATATGCATGAGGCCATCATGATCTTTCCATACCCTCTACTTTAGGCCTATACAAGTCTTTGCAGGAATTGTACCAGATTCTTTTATATCAATAAAAGATAAGAGAATTTTTAACTTTCTTTTATGCATCCGCAACCGAAGATGGTGCCAGAGGCATTATTTTTGGGGGTTGCCATCCATTTCGCTTTTGGTTACTGCGATAACTTAAAACCATTGAACTGATTTTAAAGGGCAAGCCAACCCTTGTAATAAGTCCCATTCTTTTATTTTAATTTATTTATTTCTAATCTTTTGACAGGGTAGCCCATTCACCAATCAGTAGTGGACTTCCATGGGGCCCTGAATAAACATGAAAATATTTACATCATTTATAAGGTTTATACTGAACAGTTAAAAAATAATACTTGTTTGCAAAATAAACATATATCATTAACCTAGTTCAACATTAATGTCAATAGGAAAATATTGATTAAGTAGCAATTATGTGAATAAGTCATGTTAATATTACAGAACATGAATGTAGTGTATGTTCCGCCGAGCCATTCACAAATGACAACTTTGTTAAAACAATCTCTTAAATGAATTGACAGAGGAAGCCATTCTCATCGAATTATCTAGCTTATTCCATTCAAATATGGAAGAAACAATTGGGCTACACTTATAACAATCAGTGTGAATTCTAGGCACACGTAAACATCCACTGTCTATTTGCCTTGTATGATGCTCATGTACATCATTAGGATTGATTAAGCCTACCTGAAGGTAAGAAGGTGCTAAGTTATGAACGCATTTATATATCATCATAACGCGACTTAACTCAAACCGCTTGTCTAGTGTCATCCATTTAAAACTTGTGAACAAATCAGCTGACTGTGTGTCATATGTCTTGTTCAATATTATTCTTGCGGCCCTCTTTTGAATTTTTTGCAGCTTAGTTGTATGAGAATGAAATCTGTTCGACCATACAACAGAGCAGTAATCTAATCGTGGCAACACTAGACTGTTATAAAGTAACTTTAAGGATTTTTGAGGCAAAAAACTCTTTGCTCTCTTTATCATGCTTATGTTTTTCTGGGTTAGTTTACTTACGTTTTCGATTTGTTTAGACCATTTCAATTCTTCATCTATCAAAAGTCCTAAGCAATTGGTGAATTGAACTCCTTTGATCAAATTGCCATTTAATGAAATGGTGAAAGATTCAATTTTCCTGAAAGGAAACCTTCAATCAAACATTGAATTTGATATTAAGAAGAAAAAACCGAAATATATGTATTAAGAATACAATCCATCTTTAACAGAGATTAAAATGTTTTTGGATAACTACATCCTATAGAATAAGAAGCAAGTTTGTTATAGTCTTATTTGACTAAAATCATTAATATTTCAATCTGTATATGAGGCTTCTCTGATATCCTAGGAAATGTGCCTATTCACGGTTTTCAATATTTAATCAGAGGTACTTTGTCAATTTTTCAACTCCTTGCAGTTTGAAGGGGTGGAGGAGGAATCAGACAATACAGAGGGTGCTGCCCTTCGACCTAATCGTATAAGCAGCGTGCGATTTGAAGGTATCAATGACGAAGATGATGCAGGGTTGACGGAAGAAACACCTTAAAGATTTCCCTGTCATCGCCAGGTTCTGATATACACTCAGAATCACAAAGTAGATACAAGATGTATTACAGCATTAATGAGTCCCAATTCATATAGGCTCTGTCCGTTTTTGTAAGTAATGATTGCATACAGGGAAAGTATAACAGAAGATGATTTGAGTCGGTGAGAGTATTTGGCTTTGTAGAAAGTCTTTCATGTTCTGATGGACTTACTGAAGTGAATCAGTTGAGAAAAATCTTCAGAATTTGTAAAGGAACATGTATCCTTGTAGATTTCCTGGTGATGCTATGATAATTTTTTATGTAATAATGATAAGAAAAGATGTAGGACAAAGATGAGATAAACTAATATCTAGCCTGTGTGAGCTTAGCTATTATGTCACTCCCCAGAGAGCTCCCCATTGATCTCAATGCAGTTCAATGTAAAATGTGAAGGCAAAAGTGAGTACGCCTTTAACAACAAAAACGTTTTAATTCCAATGTAACCGTTTACAAAGTGCAAGACTTGGAACTGTAACCCATAAAGGTTACATTTTTAGGTTAAAAATGTATGAAAATAGTATACCCCATAAGAATATTTGTGAAAAGAGTGGCAGCAAAATGGAGATCATCCCTTTACTGTATCACATTTAAATATATGTCAAATTTGAATTATATTGGCTTTGCCCTGACCTTTTTTAAATGAGGGAAAAGAAATTAAGGAAATATAAATCTTGATAAATCATAACAAGAATTGTCTTTGTTGTTGGTAAAGATTAAATCTTAATTTATAATTGTAGTAATTGCTTTTATTATGGAAAAATATAACTTTAAAAATAAAAAATCACCAAGAATTGTCATGGAATGAGAGGGAGAGAGAGGAAAAAGAATTTGTATGTATGTCAAAAGAGAAATAGTTATATTGTGTGACTGTTTGTGTGTGTGTGTACATCTGTGTGGATGTGTATATGTTTGTGCTTGTGTGGGGTGCCTGTGTGTGCATGTGTCATGCTATATGAAGTTGTATTTGTGATAGTAGAAAATATAGATAGAAACATTATATAGATATACATTTAGATATACAGTGCATATGGACATGGTTATATTTGAATAGTTATTGAATTGAATATATTTGTCTTTGAATGTACAGTGTATGAATTTTAAATGCTAAATGATGAAGCCACCGAATTATGCACTCAGATTACATAATAATCTATTTTTATAGAGGTTACTTAAGATTTTTAGCCACACCCCATTACAAGGAATTATTTTTGGATCTGCTAATACTCCAACAAAAGGACAACAATGACAAAGTTGTCAGCTGAGATCTACGAAAATGGGTTCCAGACTGAGTTTTGTATTTATCATTAACAATTTGTTTTCTGATTTCTCAATGATTCTTGTGACTGTTTAAAGGGCAAGTCCACTCCACAGCAGAAAAATCAGCCAAAACCAATCAAAAAAAGGTTTGAGCAAAATCGGATAACTAATAATAAAGTAATGAATTTTTAATGACATGAAAACTTTGAAAATCACAAAAGACAAATTGGCAACTCACTCATGAGTCTGTGACGTCATTGCCTCACTATCCATTAATTGTTTTTTCTTTATATTGATAATATAAATTTCCAATTTTCCCCCTAAAAATCTTATTTCCTCACACCAGCATCCTAGTTATATTGATAGAAATATGTTTTTGTGTGGATGCACTAATATAGAGTAATTCTTTTCAGTTAAATCATAAAAAATGTGAATTTGATAAACTATTTATATAAAAATCAATGATTATGGATATACATTACAATATTAAAAAAATAGTATAAATTCTTCAAAGTTCATGAAAGATTTTGTGAAATAAATCATATAACCTGGGCAAAGGCATAGGGAAATCAAGTTTTGAGGGATAAAAAGGGAAATTAATGGGATCAAAATATATACCGGTAAAGCAATTGATAAATAGCGAGGCAATGACGTCACAAACTGATAACCAAATTGGCAACTTGTGTAGTGAAGTTCAATAGTTTTTCATACTAAAAAAGAATTTCAAAACTTTCTTATTAGTAATCTGATTTTACTCAAATTTGTTTTGCTCTGTTTCTCTCGTTTTTCTGTATCTATTAAAAGCAAATTATTTTTGGAGTGGACTTAGCCTGAGATTTGCCAAAATTGATATCCTTGTAATGTACCTTTCAAGGTCGTTTCTTAATTGCTCTGCACTGAAAATTTTAGATTCAAGATTCAAGATTATTTCATTGGTCCATGGATGCAAACATTGCATACCGTTAGACATTTTGCTTCCAATGGCTTTTTTGACAGTGAACATGTCATAATTTTTCTTTTTCTCAGTAATTAATGTCATGAAGATACAAAGGAATAGATTAAATTCATATATGGGATGTGTAGAAAACATATGCAATGATTATATCTAGGGTGGATGTATGATTAATAATTTATTTTTTTAGAGAAAATCAAAATTTATGATTCTATTTGTTCAGAGCAACTGAGAGGAAACCTCGCCACATGCATCATTTAGAACTTCAATGTTATCAGTAGAATATAACAATTTTCATTGTATTACAGCTACAAACTAAATGGCAGTCTTGGCAGAGATAGAACATTTCAGTACAATATAACAGAACATGATTCTCATTTGTGTCTGATTGATTACAACCTTAACGCATGTAATGCCTGAAACATGTAATGCCTGAAAGAAGTTATTTACTTTATTATGTGGCTGTTATCATTAGGTGGTCTGTCATCGACAAACCACCCATTGATTTCGTCAGAATTTTCTGTTTATTCTTTATTTATTTGTATTCATCCACACTTTTAAGACGTGACAGCAACATCCATTTTCAAGGTCATCAGGTTATCGTGACGTCATCCAGGCGCCATTTTTATGCCTCCGCTACAAAGTAGCCGGAGGCATTATGTTTTCTGGTTGTCCATCCTTTTCTCGTGATCACGTTATCTCAAGAACCGCTTGATAGATTACCGCCGGTCTTGGGTCATGTATGTATCTTGCAGAGCCAATGAACTGATTAGATTTTGGGGTCATGAGGTCAAAGGTCATGGGGCTCATTAAGTATGCAAAACTATCTTGTGAATGCATTGTCAATACTGACGGATGGACTATCAAACTCAGGACATATATGTCTCTTGCAGCAGGTAGCCAATGAACTGATTAAATTAGAGGGTCATGAGGTCAAAGTTCAAAGGGTCATACATGTATATGAATAATAGCTTGTAATCACGATATTCTGAGAACCTTGTTAGTAGATTACAATTAAACTGGAATTTGAAAAATTGATTCTGTTTTGGTTTGTGAAATCGCTCTATGGCGGAGGCATCATTTTCGACTGCGTGCAGTCGAAGATCCATCTAGTTTTTTTTAAATAAAAACATTCAAGTTATTGTCATATCTTCATAACAAAGTCATTTCTCATTCATATTCATCATGATCAAGGTCAATATCCGTCCGGTCAATAAACGTCCGCGCGTTACAGCGCGGGCAAAATTTAAAAATGCTCAAAATAACTTTTTAATCAAATAAGAGTACATTTCAGGCCATTTTGAGCATTTTGTCACCCCCCACCCCCCCCCCCCCCTAGCTGCAGCTACATTATCATCAAACTTGTCAAATGCGTTGATGTTATTGTCAATGATGATGAACCGACGATGTCAAAGAAGCAATTAGGGTCTATTCTGTCGATGACGACAAAGGTAGAGTTTCTGATGATCTCGAAGAAGCAAGATTTGACGATGTGGAAAAGAAGACCCAAGTTTCTGACGATGTCGAAGAAACAAGAAGAGACGATGTGGAAAAGAATAGCAAAGTTTCTGACGATGTGGAAGGTAAGCGTAAATCCTGACCTTCAAACAAAGAACGGAAATCGACGGTGTAAATATACAAACTGGGGTTTGTATACCGTCAAACAGAAAGATTGCGTGGTCTTCATACAAAGAAACGATGTCGATGATGGCGAAAGTAAAGTTATCATGATGATTATGAACGAAGAAACGAACGGTCGATGTCAAAGGTAGAGTTCTGATGATGAATGAAGACACGGAAGGTCAATGTTAACGATAAAAAAGGAAAATGGCGACCTTCAAACAACCAAAATAAGGTTTTCAGCACAAAAGTGATGATGCAGGCAAGTCGGTCAAACTGTTGCTTTATTGATATATTGCCGAAACAACACAATACAAAAGAAATATCACTGGATACTGAATGGTGCCAAATCGAGGAGGACCAAATAGCAAAGGTCCTCCCGTTACCACTTTCTCCCATTGCCAAACAGTACTGTTGATCAATTAAATCCAACTGCGTCACATCTATTGCATGCTTGTAGTCAGTAGCTCCTGCAATAATAACATAAAGAATACATTTTTGAATACACAGAGAAACAGACTTCAGAAAATTATTTGGCAGAGAGATTTTCAGGATTGAATACAAGTTTGATTTTGCTTCAGAAGTTTAGATCTATCACTGCATCAGTGTCATAAATTATCAATTATCGCCAAGCTCCGATACAGTTTTACATATTGTTAGTGGATTACCAGACAACTCGCCACAAAGACAACCCGCCCCAAGACAACCCGCCACAATACCCTGGACATCTCGCCACAATACCCTGGACAACTCGCCACAGGCGCAGGCGAGTTGTCCAGGGTGGGGTGCCTTTTCGGACAACTCGCCACACTTTTTTCCCCTCATGATTTCTAGATCTAGATCTTTTTGGTTACTAGATAGTAATCAATAATACTGCTGATTTTTTTTTAGGGGGGGGGGGGGAGTGGAAATTCGTTTTGACCCCCCCCCCCCACACGTACACACACTTTTTCGTTGGGAGGAGGGCGAGTCCCCTGCCCCCACTTCTGGTGCCTATGATTGCAAGAATTGCTGGATTTTTAAAAAGGGGCACCTACAAAGGGACACATCAACAATAATAAAAAACATTTTTAGATATTTGTCTATATAGGCCTACGCCTTCGTCAAGATTGTGAATACACTACCACGAATGACATCAATATTTGTTTATTTCTTTACGTGGAACAACATATTGTTTAAGTAACGTACTCCGCAATTTGGTGTAATGGATTGAATATCGATTTTTTTCGAGCAAGCAATTAAGGAAAAAGTATAAGGTCCCATTTGAAAAATTACATGATGAATATTAAGGACAATCTAATGAAGAAAGACAGAAAAGTTCTTTTATGTAGGAGTAACATTATAATTAAAACATCTGAGAAAGAAAAGTAGGCACTTATCAGAAGGGACAAGGACATGCACAAATGATAAGGGGGCACTTTAGGGGAACCTGAAAAAGTGGAGGCACAGTGCCCCCCCCCCCCCCAACCAAGAATGCCGCCAGTGACTGTGTGCAAAAGTGCGAAACTAACCCAGAAAATCTAGAAATAAACCACATTTCAATTTTATTTCGCGGGTCAACTGCCCCCTCTCCCATTAGTACGCCAGTGCTTCCAGTAGGCCTATCCTTCCATGAATTCCTACCATTAAAAATTATCAGAAGGGAAAAGGACATGTACAAAGGATAAGGGGGCACTTTAGGGGAACCTGGAAAAGTGGGGGCACAGTGTCCCCCCCCCCCAACGAAGAATGCCGTGTCTGATGAAACTAACCCAGAAAATCTAGAAATAAACCACATTCCAATTTTATTTCGCGGGTCAACTGCCCACACCCCCCCCCCCCCCCCATCAGTACGCCAGTGCTTCCAGTATCCTACCATTAAAACATTTCTGGGACAGAAAAATGCACCTGTTATAGACCTCTATCTAAATACCGAGAAGTTATCCCAATGATCTGGCGATCGTACGCCCTTTGG